CTCCCAGCAAATCATGATGTAGACTGACTCGGATCAGGTGTGCATTTTTTCCCTTTTTCTACTGTAAAAAAAACTTTCCACTGAGCACAGTAAAGTGTAGCATTCAATAAACAGACTTCATGATATTCTATTCGAATAAAGTAATCTATGATGTTCTTGAAGTTTTGTCACGAGTGCCTTATATATGTGCACCATGGCCATAAGTACGAGCAGCATGCATATGTGCATTGAGTCATCCAACGTGAGGAATAAGAGAGATAAAAGCGGGTCCACAACGAAAAGCGGTGCGGCAAGGCTTGCGTCTACTTCTAGTGGTTGCCTATACTTGAATGGAGTGCCTTCTTGAGTAGGTGTTTTGGTACTAGCTTGCTTTGTGAAGTAATAACTGTTGTCAATGCTATGCTTTATCCAAGTTTTTATGGTACATTGTATTTATGAATGTAAATGTAATGGCAACTTCTTTACATTATGCAGGAAAGACATGCAAGCGGAGGAGGAACCATGAAGCCGTCGGTTCAGGATATTCTGTGTAGTGGTGATTGAATCATTGGTGATGAATTTTATCTATCATTTTGTGAACCCACATTGTGTTTGAGACAATGAACCATACTGTTTCCTCTAGTTAATTAGCTATATTAGCTTATGGGAAATTTGGAAAGTCATTATGTTGATAACGGATGAACTATTTACATGTGAAATTAATTAATATGTGTTTCTATTGTCTGGTTATGGTTTACTATTGCTGGAGGGCATGCACGTTATTGTTATGAAATGTCTTGATTGATATTTTCTTGGTAGTGCAAATGTAAGCTATGGGAGGGCTACTGGATGTTGGTTGAAAATGAAAAAAACCATGTCTGAAAGTCGTTTGGGGAAGCTAATGCTAGGGCCAACGGAAAGTTGGACGGGAAAACAAACCCCATCAGATAGTCGGTCGGGAAAAGCACATGGCATGCCCTATAGGCTGTTGGTCGGGAATACAGCCCCATCAGATAGTCGGTCGGGAAAGGCTCATGGCAATGCCCAACTGACTGTCGGTCGGGAAAGGCCCATGGCAGGCCCAACAGACTGTCGGTCGGGAAAGTTACACCATAGATGACAAACAGTCGGTCGGGAAAGATATGTCGGTCGGGAAAGGCTTTTCCCGTCTGGACTTTCCCCAACAGACATTGTCGGTCGACAATAGTCTTTCCCGACCAACTATCTATTGGTGGAAGCCGTTTTCCCGTCCAACCTAGCTATAAGGGATGTAGTGTTGTGGTGTAGTGAACTACAAAAGAAGTATTAAGATAAACATAACCATAGCATGAAACATATGGATCTAAATCAGCCCCTTACGAAGCAACACATAAACTAGGGTTTAAACTTCTGTCACTCTAGCAACCCATCATCTACTTATTACTTCTCAATGCCTTCCCCTAGGCCCAAACAATGATGAAGTGTCATGTAGTCGACGTTCACATAACAACACCAGAGGAAAAACAACATACACCTCATCAAAATATCGAATGAATACCAAATTCACATGACTACTTATAACAAGACTTCTCCCATGTCCTTGGGAACAAATGTAACTACTCACAAATCATATTCATGTTCATAATCAAAGGGGTATTAATATGCATAAAGAATCTGAACATATGAGCTTCCACCAGATAAACCAACTAGCATCAACTACAAGGAGTAATCAACACTACTAACAACCCATTGGTACCAATATGAGGTTTTGAGACAAAGATCGGATACAAGAGATGAACTAGGGTTTGAGATGAGATGATGCTGATGAAGATGTTGATGAAGATTGACTCCCTCCTGATGAGAGGATCGATGATGATGATTTCCCCCTCCCGGAGGGATGTTTCCTCGACAGAACAGCTCCGCCAGAGCTCTAGATTGGTTTCGCCAGGTTCCGCCTCGAGACGGCGGTGCTTTGTCCCGAAAGCATCCTCCTTATTTTTTCCAGTGTGAAAGACTTCATATAGCAAAAGATGGGCACCGGAGGCCTGCCAGGGGGCCCTCAAGGCAGGGGGGTAGGACGCGCCCCCCACCCTCGTGGACGGTGGGTGGCCCCCCTCTGGTGCTTTCTTCGCCCAATATTTTTTATATATTCCAAAACTGACTTTCGTGGAGTTTCAAGACTTTTGGAGTTACGCAGAATAGGTCTCTAATATTTGTTTCTTTTCTAGCTAAGGATTCCAGCTACCGGCATTCTCCCTCTTCGTATAAACCTTGTAAAATAAGAGAGAACATACATAAGTATTATGACATAATGTGTAATAACAGCCCATAATGTAATAAATATCAATATAAAAGCATGATGCAAAATGGGCGTATCAATGGTCAGCCACCCCATTCAACCGGTTAGTTGCGACCTTCGTAAAGATTTTGAAGCTTACATTGAGAAGACAAATCGGTCTATATTGTTGAATACGACTGGCCTCCTTAATCTTAGGCAGTAGGATAATCTCCCCAAAGTTTAAGCGGGAAATATCAAGGTCTTCGGTATGTAGTTGATTAAACAACTGAACCAAGTCTGCCTTGATTACGTCCCAAGAGCATTGATAAAACTCTACCGGAAAACCATCCGGTCCCGGAGCCTTGTTGTGTTCCATTTGAAACACCGTGGTTCAAATTTCCTCTTCAGAAAACAGAGAGGTTAAGAATTCATTTACCACTTCCGAAACTTGAGGGATGTCATGAGTGATAGACTCGTCCAGCTCAAAAAGTGTTTCAGTGGAAGGGCCAAAAAGCTCTTTGTAGTATTTAGTAATAAAGTCTCTGAGTGGTGCTTCCCCCTCAATACGGCCTTCCTCCTGGTCAAGAGAAAAGATATGTTTCTTTCTATGTCTGTCATTGGCCAGCATTTGAAAGTATTTCGTATTATCATCACCTTGAACGAGCGAATCGGCCTTGCAACGTTGGTACCATTTAATCTCTTCCTCACGAAGCAGGCGTGCAATCTGCTCATTAAGATGGCTTTTTTGCTCAATCTCAGCAGCAGAAAGAGGCCTCGCCTCCGCAATTTTATCGAGGGTATCGATTAAAGTAGATAGCCGCAACTTTTCTTTTTTGTAAATGTCGGCAGTGTGTTTAGCCCATCCACGAAGAAAGCGGCGCAAGGCGTGAATTCAATTGTTCCATCGTTGAATGGGCGTGTTGCCGCGAGGTTGACGCGCCCACACTTTCTTGACCATGTCGAGGAATCCCTCTCCAGTGAGCCATCCCAACTCAAATTTAAACTGATGATGGTTAGAACTTGGGGTTGTTTGTCCAAAATCGGTTAGCAATGGAGCGTGATCCGATAAGGCCTCAATCATTTCTAGTGCCCGTACCGAGGCTAGGGGATATTTATATTCCCAGTCGATGGTAACCAGCACCCGGTCAAGTTTTTCGAAAGTTGGAACTGGTCGGTTATTGGCCCAGGTATACTGACGACCAGACATAGTGAGCTCCCGCAGATCTAGGCTGTCAATAACATCATTAAATAGGAAAGGCCACCTAGTATCAAACCGGTCATTGCTTTTTCCTGCTGATATCGAAGGATATTGAAATCCCCCCCCCCCTGATTAACATGGGATGGAGATTGTCTCGACAGGTATTAACAAGTTCCTTTAGAAAAGCAGACTTAAACTCTTCTTGAGCGGCGCCATATACAGCCACCAGGCTCCAAAGGAAGTTGTCGGGCTTGTTTCGAAAGTGAAATTTAATATGATATTCCCCCTTTGACGTGGACAAAAGTTCCAAGTACATGGAATGGATGCCTATCAAGATTCCACCGGACCTCCCAGACGGAGGTAAGACGTGCCATTCATAATCATAACCACATAAAAAGTGGTCAAGATCACGTGTTGGGAAGTCTTGTTTGCCCGACTCAGTAATAGCCACAAAGTCCAATGCATGATCCTTTACACAATCGGCAATATGTTTGTGTTTAGCCAAGTCACCAAGACCTCTGCTATTTTAGAACATGCCTCTCATGATGAACCATATTTTTTTTTGTTTAGAGGCCTTTGCCCTCTTAGATGGGCGCCCTCTTTTCTTCGCTGAGTTAGATTTGTTCTTTCGTACCTACGCGACAAGCTCACACAGCACAGTGTCACATACAGTATCACCCAAATCTACCTCAGTTGTGTCTTTAACTAGATGGGAGAGAAGCTTGCCTTCATTATTGGCATCAGCTTCCTCATCCTCCTCATCTGACACAAGAGGGTCCACGAACTTCGACAACTTAGGAGCAACCGTAAGCCGGTCGAACTCCACTTGTTTAAGAGCCCTAACCGAAAAATCCACTTCTTTCTCGTTGCGTCCTAATGAAACTCCAAGGCTAGTAATATTTGAAGATACTTTGGAATTATCAAAAGACAAAAATGATTGACGAGAAGAGGTACCTTCAAAGTCAAGGTTGCGGGCCGCCATTCTACGCATGGCCTTCACCATCGAGTCCTCGTCGGAGGCTGTTGTACCATCAACACCGATGGCGTGCCGACCGCTGCGCCTCAGCGATGGTGGAGTGAGGCCGACAATAGTGGCAGTCCCGATGGCCCCGAGTGCCGGAGTAGACGGGCGCGGCGACGATGAAGAAGACCGTGAGGGTTGCATGTCATCCTCCGGCTCCGCAAGTACGTGTCACTTAGAAAGGTTTGGCCATTAATTAGCTGTATAATTTCTTGCTAATGGTTAGAAAATCACAGCCATAAGAAAGTAACTTTGCAGATGAACCCAATAGTTGTGTTTTTATGTTACATCACTCATCAGTAGGGGCAGATCCAGCCCAGCGGGCCGCCCCAGGCCCCCTATGTATACTGTGCTACAATATACAAAGGATTTGGGCCTCACGCCCCGGGCCCCCTATGTATACTGTGGTATACTTCCTCCGTAAACTAATATAAGAGTGTTTAGAATACTAAAGTAGTGATCTAAACGCTCTTATATTAGTTTACATAGGGAGTAATATACAAAGGATTTGGGCCTCACGCCCTGGGCCTCGCCCCCATCCGTCGTCACTGCTCATCGGGATCAGCCAGTTGTAGTATGGGAAACATGATCATCTTGGCATGAGTGAGGAACTCCCCTCCAGCGCTCAGCTGCTTGGCATGGAACCCATGATCACAGTTGACTGCGATGTAGCAGAGCATTTCCATCCATACCGTTGCGATCATCTCCCACCGATCAGCAGCTGCTACTTCACCGTTGAGCAGAAAAGCCACATCAGTAGCTAGACTAGCTAGATGGCCAACTGAACCTTCAGAGTGAGAATCGTCACCGTAGAATCTCTGGAGGAGGTCCCTCTTATCATAGTTGGCATCTTTGCAAAACGCGCCAATCCACTTTATACATTCTTCGAAAAATAAACACCCGTCAGCATCAACCATCAAGTTGCACTTGTAGACCAGGTGCATGATGTAATTGGACACGTGTTGGCTGCAGGTTCTAAGCTCAGAGGGCGTCTCGTCCCTTACTAGGCATATGTCTGTCACAAGGTGCCAAAGAAAGGCACTTGATACAAAATCCCTGTCTTTGAAGATGCCTCGGACTTTCTGCTTAGCTGCACCAAACCCAGAGGAGGAGGAAGGAATATAAGCTGCCCACTCGGCAGTGAAGCTGCTGAAGTACAACTTCCAGTGATTGTCACACAGCTTATCAAGGAACACCTTCTTTACCTCTGGGGAGATGGCAACATGTTTGGTTGTGTGGTGGTATTGCTTGATGCCGATACGCCACATCATCCGTTTCAGCCATCCATATTCCCTTGTTGCCTTCTCCTTTTGGATGATTTCATCAATAAAGTTATACTGCCACAGCTTACCTGACCACTCCAATCTGTTGCTTTTCGGTGCTGGGCGGAGGCGCTTGAGGATGCTAAGCACAATTCTTGGACTATGGCCTCCGCTTGGTCCTGTGCATACGTTGGATGGCGAATATGATGTCATGAGCCACATCAATATAGAGGATATCTCAAACGCCACTGCACCCACAAGCAATATGTAAGAGATGGCAACATCAGCTACTCTGTAGTAGTACTTCACAGCTTCTGATCGCCCCATCCCTCCCTTATGATGAACAGCAAACAGAGCGAGAGCTGTAGAGTTTATGACAAGGATGGTGAGACGGTGCAACACACCATCGAGGCTTCCAAACTTGGTGTACAAGAAGTCATAGATCAATGAGAGTTGGGTCTCAGCCAACTTGTATGCCAAGTTAACTCCCTCGTCTGACTTGAGACGATCTCGTTCCTCCTGACCTAAACCAGTCCCGCGAAGCCGTTTACTAGTCCTGTTCATGAAATAGTTCATGCTATTATAAAACATGTCATGAGCCACATCCTCCATGTCAGAAGAGAACAATGACCAGATAGGAGCATGTGTGTCAAGCCTGACCCCCAGGGTTCTTTTCTGCCCACACAACGGACCCCAAGGCCTGCTTATAGGTCCCCATGAGCCGGCTCTCCCAAGTATCCATATTCTCTCCATGTATTTGGCTGTCCCAGAGATGAAGATTAGCACCATGGGAGCCACAAGTTGCTTGTCCCCTTGCCATTGCTTGCCCACGACGTAGATGGCCAGTGCCACCTGGGTGGTGAGGTTCAGCAGGTGCCTCTTCCACAGTGCGCAGTCCTCCATGGAGAAGGCTGTGATGGTGTCCTGCCCTCCGAGGTGGAGCAACATGAACGGTGCCCAGAAGAGCACCAGTGAGTCGTCGCCTCCAACACGTGTGAGGCGGCCGAGAACGAAGACCGCGACGGTGTCGGCCAACAGGTAGGCAAGCCACAGCAGCAGGCTGAGAATGCGAGAGCGATGGCGCTTCCGGAGCCCCGCGAAGAAGAGGAGGAAGACTTGCAGGGAGAAGCTCACAAGCACCAAGCACTGGATCTCCCACTCATTCCAGAGCTGCTGGATGCTCGCTACTGTCAGTCTGCCAAGAAGCTAAAATACTTTAACTTGCTCCAAACAGAATCATCTTTAACAAAAATAAATTATGTTGATACACTGTATTTAATTTTTGAGACCGTCCATTTAGTGAGAAATTATTTTGCAATCGTCCAGCTTTTCTGTGATGTTTCAGTTCTTACGCACAAATTAGCGCTTGGGTTTATTCATATTGCATGCTACATAATTGAAGATAAACAACTCCCCCAGACTCTACAGATACGTCATTTACTGAAAATACCAGATGCGCACGTATGAAATGCACCTAGTTTCCGAAGCCCCATGGCCCCGTTTCATTACCGGAATATTGGAAAGGGAGGTTCAGTAGTTGTACATGTGAAGAGTAAAGCAGAAAGAAAAGAAAATCCAAGCAGTAGCAACACACCACATTCAGCAGCACCCAGACACCAAAAAGGGGGTTCAATATAGTTTAAAAAATGTACATAACCTAATTATTACACTAGTTTTGTCTATACTTCGAATTACGTACCTGTTGTGTTGAGCTCCGGGAGGGTAGCCATACTGGACATAGATAGAGTGTTGATGATCCTTCAACATCCTCATGTTGCTCAAACAGAGGAACGCTCAGAACAGGGCCATATATATGAGGGCACACCTAGAGGATTGCATTAAACTAATGGAAATGATCCCAAAGCCAGTAGGGTGTGCAAGGTCTCTGCTAGCTTTTCTTTGCTTGCAGTTGGAAACGATGCAAGATGCTTATACTCTAGAGTGTTTGTGTCTTTCTTTTGCTTGCAGTTTGAGACAATGCAACATTCTTCTTGTCAATTGCCGGAAAACATAACAGGTTCTCATACTCCAGGCTCTTCACTTTTCTTGGAGTTGAAAACAAATTGAAGAGGATAAATTTCAGAACCTGAATGGAGATGCTGTCTCGGCAAAAAATTTAACGTGACATGGTAGCGTCAATTGTTTAGCCTACAAAAAGAGCTAAGCAGAAAGGAAAAAACATGGTCTCTCAGCATCCAATCCTCATGAGGAGATTTTGAATTTGCGTGCAATAACTACCACTTGAGTTTATTTTTATTTTATTATAGATAATTGAAGATAAAGAACTCCCCCGGAGTCTACAGATACATTATTTACAAAAAATACCAGAAGCATGTGCAAATACCAGAAAAATATGTGCATATAACTTGAGAAATGCAAGTAGTTCTTTTTTCATACGAAGCCCCAGGTTTTCTTACCAAAATAATGAAAGGGCGGTTCAGTACATGCAAAAGGTAAAGCAGAAAGAAGAAAAATATCCAGAGAGTAACAACACGCCGCATTAGCTGCCAGGAACCAAATAGTGATGCAATCTAATTTAAAAATCACCTAATTTGCACAATACTTTTGTCTATACGTTGAATCACGTACCTGCTGTGTTGGGCTTCAGGAGGGGAAAAGTGCTGCAGATAGACTCGAACTAAGGACTATGATGATCCTTTCGCATCCTCATGTTGGTCAAACACAGCTCAAACTAGCTCGATTGAGTGGGGAGAATGGATTGATTAGACAAATATAGTAGATAGGGATATCATAAATTACTGTGCGTGTCTGATCTGTTTATAGTACTCATATTTCAAATCAGTATAGATAGGGCCATATATATGAGGGCACAACAATCTGGAGGATTGCAGCAAAATAATGGAATTGATCCCTGCTGTCTTTGCTTCCCTTTGCTTGCAGTTGGAGACGGCGCAAGATTCTACAGTCTAGAGTCTTTGCTTTGCTTGAAGGTTGAGACAATGCAACATCCTTCTAGTCAACTGACGAGAAAAGAACAGATTCAGATAGTCTAGGGTGTTTGCTTGGCTTGGACATGGAGACGAAATGAAGAGGCTGAATCAACTGCAGGGCATGTGTGTTCAATCAGCAACACATAAGAGCATGTTAAATAAACCACACACAAGAACACTATGAAATTACCTATGTCATGAACAAAAAAATATGTTGAGAAGAACATGATCACCAACGTTTATAACATTGGCTATCAAACATTATAATATACAAAATTAGGCAATATTCTTCACCATTTTGATTCCTAGCACTGTGATTTATATATTTTTTCAGGTATATTCTCATGTAAATGAGTGGTCAAAATTGTACAACCACCGTTCCGAATTAGTTGACTCAGATTTTTCTAGATACGGATGTATCTGGACACGTTTTGGATACATCCGTATGTAGACAAATCTGAGTCAACTAATTCGGGGCGGAGGGAGTATATATTTAAGAGGATGTTAAATTTGTTAAATGACATGCAACGATACATAGAAACTCTAGTCGCGCAAATGCACATCACACTACTAGTTGTAGATAAAGAGCTCTGATCCCCCAGCCTCTATATAGATACGTAATAATACCAGATGCACATGCATATAATTTAAGAAATGCACCTAATTTTTTAATCCATATAGCCCCATAGCCCCAGGTTGCATTACCAAAATAACAGAACAGCGGCTCAGTACATGCGAAGAGTAAAGCTTCATCCAAACAGCAGCAAGCATTCAGCTGCCGCAAGGCCCAAAATAACGGTTCAATGTAATAATAAAAATATTACCTAATTTATACAATAGTTTTGTTTATCTTTGACTTGTGTACCTGCTGTGTTTGAGCTTTGGGGACGGTAGCTGTGCTGGAGATGATCCCCCAGCATCCTCATGTTGGCCAAACAGAGGAACACTCAAACACTATGGATAGATTAGAAAAATACCTGAGGGCGATATGATCAGTATGCATATGTGACTTGTTTATAGTACTCATATGTCAGTATAAATAGGGCGTGCATGAGGGAACACCTGTAGATTGCAGCAACATAATGGAATTGATCCCAAAGCCTGCAGGGCATGGCAGGTCTCTGCTGGCTTCCCTTTGCTTTCCTTCGCTTTGCTTGCAATTGGAGGCGATGAGATGCTTACTTCCATAGTCTAGAGTCTTTGCTTTGCTTGCAGTTGGAGACGGTACACACGATTCTTTTAGTGAATTGCCGAAAAGAAGAACAGTATCTCATTGTTGTGTGGCTGCTCACCTTTGTTTTCCTTTTTCCATCCATTTGGCCCGAAACTTGATTTTTCATTTGCCTTCTATTTTCTTCCAAGGATCTAAGTTTAAACACATCCTTCAACTGGCAATAAACACCAGAACAGTGTGGTCAGCACTAAAATTAGTGTTAAATGGTGGGTTCTGTTGTGCATTTCATTACCTCATTGGGAGAGAAAAGAATCTACTACATTCAGAAAAAAAAAACAAGCAGTCATCAGATTGAGCACTCTAACTGCAGATAGCTAATGAACACTTACGCAGCTAACTGTGTGATAGAGTCTATAGCAACAGCCCACATGTCTGAAATGCAGAATATCCCTGAAGTATAACAGACCTTCTTGCCAAAAGCAAAGGAACTGAATCATGTGACACCATTTTAAAGCAAGCAGAAGCACAGCGAGAAAAGGCGTGCCATCAAATCTCAGAAGTTTGCAAAGAAGCAATGTAAAAAAAAACAGCCACATCATCAAATGCATATACCGTGGACAAACAAATGCCAGCCTACAATTATTATCAGTCACTCTAGCCAGCATTGCTAATTTGGTCCTAAACATCACTTGCTAGCAGATAGGCAATTCAACCTTTCTGTGGGAACCATAGCTAATTTGTTGAAACAGAAAACAGTAAACCTAGCGTACACATCACAGTTGCCTCATGGCTTCCATGCACATAATGTATGACATATCAAACGATGGCTTGAATAGTCAGAGATCCAAGTGCGTTGAAATTACCACTTTTCTAATTATAAACACATAAGCATTCCAAATTCCTTGCATACCTATTGTATCAGATCGTGACCAGCAACCGGATCAGACCACCACTCAACTCCAGCACGAAGGTACAACCACTAGTGTTGGCCACCATCACCATGGCCCTGAAGGGCAATATTTTAACCAGATGTGAAAGGTTTCTTAGGATAACTTATAGAGAAGAATAACAGTATGAGCACAACTTATAATGCATGTACGAAAATGAGCATTAGGGCCTACGGGGCAGTTTGGCACTGCCAAGCTTTACTGTGGAACCTATTTAAATATATTTCTAAGATGGGGTTACAAATTAGTGAGTATGAATAGAAGGAAAAGAAAGCATAAAAGATGAACATGGAAGTCAATGCTCTATAGCAAGATGCCTTTCCATGTGCCTTGATATGTCATTTTAATTTGAAATCACTTGTAAATCTTTTGCCAAATGCTGAGAACGGGCTCACATGATTATTTTCTACATCACGTGATTTGAAGGGTGCATGTAAGTTAAATCCAAAGAGAAGGCCTGAAATTCAGAGGTATTGTGATGCAACATGTACCAAAATGGAAGGATTCACCAACAAGAATCCATGATCATTTACACTACTTTTTGTTTTGTCACTTGAAGATATGCAAACAGGAAAGATGTTACATCGTGGAAATCACGAAGTTCTACAATTAACAATAGTCCAGGATAGCAATTGAACTCGGTTTACAAACAAAAACTAGCTCAAAGTATCAGATGAAGTTTCATTAATTTCATTTAATCAAATCAACGGAACATGTTGAGTTAGATAAAATTAGCATCCCACTACTTAGTTCTGCACCATTAAACAGAAGAACACTGTAACGTGAGCTGTATTTTGGGAACTAAAAAAATGCAATACAAACTTTGTGAAGCCATACCTCACGACAGCCTGGATGTGGGCAAATATAATCCTTTGTCCATTGTCCTGTGTGAATAAGATGACGCACCTTCAAATTTCTACAGAAAAAAATTCACCATGTGTGCCACAACATGATACCTTTCCATGTTGAGTTCCTTGTCGCAGGCAGTCGGTATAAATCACCACTTGAATAAGCAGAAACGGAAACATCTACTCCCTCCGTTCCAAAATAGATGACCCAACTTTGTACTAAGTTAGTATAAAGTTGAGTCATCTATTTTGGAACGGAGGGAGTAGCTACTTTATCACCATCCAGACAAGATTTACTACCACACGGTGGAGGGCAGATATATTACAAAAATGGACCATCTCAACAAAATGACCAAACAACATCAGTAAGTGTCTGTTCACATCCGCGCAATCTAATTCTACCATAATTATAATGCCCACTTAGTTCCATTCGTTGCTAGTTTTCAGCGTAGGCATACACCAAACTTACTAAAAGGAAGCAGACAACCACATCTAAACAACCTAGGGAACACGCTCCAGCGGAATGTCAGTAAACAGGGAAAATAATGAATGTCCAGCTAGTCTTCATCTTCTTCTGTTTCCTCATCGTCGGCGTTCTGGTTACCGTATCTCCAGCCATCTTCTACATTGTTACCACCAGGATCTTCCTCGGTCTCTTCACTGTCATCGTCATACATACCCTTGCCTGGCCACTGGTTCTTTGCACCACTGGTATCAACACCCATCCTGCTGGAAACCTTGACATTGTAGGCGTTAGATGGAGGGGCCCTGTGCACTTGGCTTGTCTTGCTCCTTTTCGGGTTTGGCGCAATGTCACCACCGTCAGCATAGTTATACCCCGCTGCAGGTGTGGCGGACCTACCATTGTTTTCTTGATTGTGGTCAGGGTGCTGAGTCTTGAGATGGAGGTTGAGTTTGTAACCGTGGATGTAGGCTTTCCCACAGCCTTCGTAGGGGCAGACATAAGGGCGCTCACTGGAAAAGCTTGGTGGTGTGGGCGCAGAAGGCTTTGGGGTTGCTTGTATGGAAGGCTTTATGGTGCTTTGTGGTTTTTCTGCTGGTGGTGTATGCTGCACTGCAATAGGAGATCCAGTCTGCATCATGGCCACAAAAGACACAGTAAGTAAAACATAAGACTGACAAGATTCATATACACAACTGCAAACCGCGTTATGCAAGTGTGGCACCATGGGCATTTTAATAAATGATTATGTAGTTGGGATAGTAGGACACTAATCTGATAAACTAGATCACACTCCAACTTAATGTATTCACGGCATCCATTGTTCCAATCGGAAAACAGTTAACAAAGTTCCTCAGTGGATCAAATATGTCAGGGATAAAACTGAACATGTACCGCAGAACTTCATGGAACTAGCATGAATAGAAGGAAAAGATGATCCAAAAGATGAACATGGAAGTCAATGTGGTATAGCAACATACCTTTTCATGTGTCTTAATATGGCATTTTAATTTGAAGTCGCTTGTAAATCTTTTGCCACATGCTGGGAAGGGGCATATATGATAATTTTCCACAGCATGTGTTTTGAGGTGTGCACGCAAGTTAAAATCCAATGAGAAGGCCTGCAATTCAGAGGATTTGTTTGTTAGAACAGGTAAAATATACCATAGTGAAACGATTAACCAATATGAAAGCATAAACCAACCAGACACTTGTAAATATGCAATCAGGAAGTTGTGGAGTTGTACAAAGTAGAAACCTCTAAAATTAGCAACAGTTTAGGCCCATAGCAATTGAATTTACATGCATTAAACTAGCTTGAGGGGTCAGGGAAAGTTTTATTAAGTTCATCAAATCAAATCCGCAAAGCATCTTCAGTTAGATAGAATCTGGCATGCCACTTAGTTTGGTAGCATTAGATAGAAGAACACTGTAATTTAAAAATGTAAGTTGTATGGTGAGAATTAGGAGCAAAAAATGAGAAGGCCTGAAATTCAGAGGATTTGTTTTTTAGAACATGTAAAACGTACCATAGTGAAAGTATTCACCAATAAGAAAGCATAAACCAACCACTCACTTGCAAAGATGCAAACAGGAAATTGTGGCGTAGTAGAAAGTAATCCTCTAAAATTAGCAACAGATTAGGCACGTAGCAATTGAATTTACAAGCATAAAACTAGCTTGAGGGATCAGGGGAAGTTTCATTAAGTTCATCTAATCAAATCAGCGGAACATCTTCAGTTCGATAGAATTGGTGCCACTCAACTTAGTTTTGGATCACCAGATAGAAGAACACTGTAACTATAAATGTAAGTTGTATGGTGAGAATTAGAAGCAAAGAATGCTGTCGTGAAATAGAATGTGAATCCCTACCTTACCACAGCCTGGATGTGGGCAAACGAAATCCTTTTGTCCTGTGTGAGTAAGGTGGTGCCTCTTCAACTTTGAGCTATCTACAAATTTCTGCAAAACAAACAGAAAAAGGATTCATCATTTCTGTACAAAAGGAACAGTCACATAGTTAGGAATTACATTCTCCCATCAACAGTGAGCGCACATATAACGGTTGTTTCGTTCATGAGTTACCCGTATAGGACATAAGCAAAGGTCTTATATGTATAGTTGCACTGAAACAAATCTATTGCCCATCAATAACTATGCAAGACAGAGAAAGGTCCTAGTGGACAGAAAGATAAAGAGCTTAAAACCATTTTGCATATGAGACTGAAATCACAGGGAAGTTTGTCAACGCTAGTAAACGGATAAGTTCACCAACACGAGCATAAACATTGCTAAATGTGTAAGGTAATTTTGGAGTTACCTTCCCACAGCCGGGCTCCTGGCAAACGTACTGCCTCTCGCCGTGCACGTGGGCATGCTTCCTCAAGGCAGCCACGTCAACAAAGGTCTTGCCGCAGTTGTCGTAGCTGCAGAGGAAGAGTATCTCCGTGGCCGGCTCAACCTTGCGCGGCTGCGCCTCCGGCTCCTGCCCCACGCCGCCGTTCTCCTTCAGATTCTTGTACACGTCCTCTGCACACAGGTTACGCAGAAGCCAATCGCCAATTAGACATTGCAGGCAATCGCACGACCAGCTCAAACTGAACGACAAACTACAGAGGATAAGATAAATTTTGCTCTGCAATTCAGGATAAGATGCACTAAATTTTGCATCAGTCACTGCAGGCAGCCGCGCAGTCTGCTCAAACTAGTGGGCAAGACAAAATTTGTCCTATGATTCATGATAAGATGAAGAACAAATGCGTCAGATCGACATTGTCGGTCCGTTAGGCTCCAGGCTACACATCCGCCGATTCAAGGGGAGGGGAGGAGGGGGGAGGTTCATGGGGGGAGCGCGCGGTACCTCTGACCCACTTGAAGAGGGCGCACTTGGAGCCGGGGGAGGCGAGATCCTGCGGGATCCTGCAACGCAACGACAACGCAACGGCGACGGCGCCGGTCAGTCAAGTCAGTCCCGCGCGGCGGGGCGGCGATCTCGGAGACGGACGGGCATCAGCGAGGGGAGGGGCGCGGGACGTACCACTGCTTGACCCAGCGGGCGGCGGGGCGCGGGCGGCGGCGGAGCGTCTGCGGCGGCGGCTGCGGCTGCTGCGCGGGCGGGTAGTAGTAGTATCCCCCGGCGCCCGCCGCCGCGTACTCCATGCCGCCGGGGCTGGCTGTCCCCTCTCACTCCCTCCCTCCGCGCTGCGCGATGCGGCCGCCGGCGCCGTCGAGTGAGCTCTCCCCTCCCCTTCTCTCTCTCTCTAGGGTTCTTCGGCTCTCTCTCTCTCTCTCTCTCTCTCTCTGGGCAGGCAGGCCGCTCGCTCCCTCGGCCTTGGCCGGAAAACGTCACATGACTCCGATTTGTATCCGAGAATAATTTCTTTTCTTCTTTGTCTTTGACAGGGTTTTTCTAAGCATCCTATTAAAAAAAATTACAAGTGTTTTTATGGTGGTTGTGATTCGGTAACATGAAATATTTGTGTTCAGATATACCGATTGTTTTTTTAACAGATATATACCGATTGTTAATGGTACGTGGTTGTTTGTCGAAGTTGATATTTCGGTCCGATAGAATGCGGCTTACATTTTTTTTAGATGGAGGAGGGTGTAATGTGAATTGTGTAGCGAGCACGGAGGAGATACGGCTCAATTTCCCTTTTAGAGCACACACACGGTGCGCTGATTAATTGGCCGCCTCTAACACTCACTTTAGTGGTATATACTGTTTTTTCTTTATCGATTCGTGGAAAAACCACTCCCTCTGTAAATAAATATAGGACCCGTTTAGATCACTGCTTATAGTGATCCAAACGGTCTATACAGGGATACATATTGTTTTACGTACATGTTGTTTCTATGGAGTTTATCTTATAGATCAGAAAAAACTTTATGCACTAGTGATTTTGCGTCATGCTGGAGGACAAACAAATGGACCCAACTTAAGGGTTAGGTTTCCTTCAGCCACGACCAATGCTCTTAGGGCATGAGAGGCTTTACATGGCAATTGCCCCATGTGAAAAAATAGTTTCGGGTATCTTCATTTGTTTTTCCTCTCCAATGGAAGCAGCCACCACCGGTGGGCCTTGTCAAGCAAGCAAAAATTTTAGGATTTGAGTACACATGCATGCATGCATCTATTACCCTCCACCCTACCTTCCCTATGTTTCACAACAGGATCACCTTCTCTCCCCTCAGGCATCCGCCTCCTGCAAAAGAGCCTATGACACCATCCGAGCCAATCTCTGTTAGACACCCGAGCTACATGGCCTGTGGGGCAGCATGTTGAGGCTATGCGGGTGCGCTAGGTCGCGGGGAAAAGGTGCGAGTAGGGAGGAGGGTGACATGGTGTGAGGGATGATGGGAGGAGGGTCGTGCGGAGGGTGGAGGCGGTGGCCGCCGTGCGGGAAGATAACACTTAGGTGAATCTTTTTTTTTTGTTCACATGGAAAGGGAGCTGCCTACTCGGTTAGCGGGTGAAGAGGATCTTCAATAAAATTAAGAAACATTGTTTTTTCTCCGATAAAATTTAGGGTTCATTGTAGGGTACTTTTTTTCTCAAGTTTCAATAAGTTGTATAGGTATAGGGGGGCTGTTTTAGAATCTTTGGCAGAGATACTCAAAGCTCAAGCACAAAAATATATCATGCAATTTTGCGGATTCTCAGTCGATCTCAACATTAAAAACACATATCACTTAGCTTGGGAGCCAAAAAAAAAACTATATATGCCAAGTCGATCTTTCCCCCTTATCTATCAACACAACGAGAATTTTTCACAAAACCACATTTCAAAATCTTCAATTTTATTTTCATAAGCAAACAATCAAACACCAGTGTGCTTGATACAGCTACTAGTTGGCATCACAAAATACGCACTAAACATAACAAACACAACATTCACTCCACATGCCCCAGACATAACAAAATGAATCTAGACACAGGAGTTACACACAAAAGTGGAACTAGGTCTAGCTTTGCTTATTCATTCATATCACGTCCCAAGAGGCTCATTGCCGATTATTACTCCAAACAATAAATACAACAGGTGCTAGGTACGACGAGTAGATACAGGTAGCTTTGTGTTGCCGAACATAGAATAAAATTACAGATGGAGGGCGTGGAAATCCCTATGATCCCAACCACATTATGTTCCTTGATCATGAACACAGAAGTAGAACCACAGTGTAATGCCAAACAAGTCTCTAATAAGAAATAAACCCCTTCAAACAGAATACAATGATGGACCGTATGCTCCTTGCTTGCAAGCGCTTTGTTTCTAGTCGGCGCGGGATTGGCCGGCACGCGAGGAGAGGATGATGCCGACGATGAGGCCGTACAGGGCAAGGGCTTCGGCAAAGATAAGGATGAGGATCATTCCGACGAACAGCTTGGGCTGCTGCGCGTTGGCCCTGCAGAGAAGGTTAAAGAACAGAGTCAAATCAGTACTTCAACTTCCAGACAAAAGGTGGTTATCACTTATCTATATAAAAATCAATTTACCACTATGTTTCCCCCTTTTAACATTTAAGTATGCAATAATATATTTCTGGAAAAAGCAGATGGCAGCATGTTCTGGTTATTGCAATACTCGCAGGCATTGTTTAGAGCCAAGCTGCTATTAGTGGCACAATCTCAATTCTGAGCTATTAGTGCTGTTCCTTAAAATGCTTGATATACATACCAGAGATCAATTGGATCTTGATTATACTATATGCATATGCTTAAGATATATGGAGCAGAAGGTTTAAGGTTTAATAATATAAGTACACAAAACCAATACATAGTAACAACCGAAGGAATTAATAACCAATGATTCCCCATCCATTTGAATATATTTGGTGTATAGAAAAACCCAGATGCAAAAAAAATAAATTCACCATGCAAATCCAAGCTTAAGTTATTATAGCGGGCCAATGTAGAATCTAGTTAAATTGCTTCCACAACAATGTGCAAACCAGAAAAGTGAAATCACAATGCTAAACCCAAGCTGATGTTATTATAGCAGGCCAATGTAGAATCTAGTTAAATTGCTTTGACAAACATGTGCAACCCAAAGAAATATTAACATTGTTATGGCTCAAACAGAAGAAGCCATAATTTCAGACAATGTAAAAGGACCCACCAAAAATTATGAAGTAGAACTAGATGATGGACTATGAATTATGAAATCTAATATCACAGCTAAAAAACAAAGCTATTGCCACAAGAATAAATAAATCCACCACTAGCATGTTCTATCAGATTCACATTGTTGACTAATTGACAAAGCTATTTCCATCCTGCACGAACAATAAACTGCTATCTGCAACTCATATAGTAGCAGTGTATAGTATCCTACCATGACTCACCGCCCCTTGGTGTTCTCTCATACCAGCATAATATTACATCAAACTGGTTCAGAGAAATAAGCCGATGTGTGCAGTTTAACAAGTGAGACACACAACTTCATCTGTAAATTCTAGTCAAGCATGTCCCAGGTGACAACATATTTTTTAACTTATTTTCATCGATTATTACTCTACTAATATCTGGTTGTAGCCTGTCAAAGTTGCCAACCCCTCACCCAAATCCCAAATGAGGTAGTAGTAGCATGATTCCCTGCTGTAACTCACCCTCCTCAGAATGTAGACTACTTTACCAACTAGTACAAGATTTGCATAACACAGCCTTGACAATCTACGTAGCGATCCCACACTTTTGTTCACAAGCCTCGCAACAATGGAAGGGATCTATTTACATTAGCATAGCAGCTACCACCATTTGCATCCTCCCCAGACGTCACATTTGACATACTTCATATGTAAACTTCACAAGATTCACATGACATCCTCCCACACAAGTGACAGGAAGATATGCAGCGGAAGGAGGGAGTGGATGCGCGTATGTATGTATGTATACCTGACGCCGGCGTCGCCGACGATGCCGATGGCCATGCCGGCGGCGAGCCCCGCGAGGCCGCAGGCGAGGCCGGAGGAGAGGTGCGCGTAGCCGTCGAAGAGGAAGTAGGGCTTGGCCTTGGGGTTGATCCCGGTGGAGATGATGACGGCGATGATGAGGCCGTAGATCCCGAGCACCCCGGCCATGACGACGGGCACGATGGACTTCATCACCAGCTCCGGCCGCATCACCCCCATCGACGCCACCCCCACCCCGCTCTTGGCCGTCCCGTACGCCGCTCCCATGCCTGCACGCGCATCACACACACCGCGGTAAGATCGCCGATCTGGAGGAGGGGGAGGGGAGATCTGGGGGAAGGGGGCTTACAGGAGAAGACGAGGGCGGCGGCGGCGCCTAGGAAGCCGAAGAAGGGGGCGGTCTCGTCGCCGCTGAAGGTGGAAGCCATGGCTGCCGGCGGGGGAGGGGATCTCGCCGGAGATTGGACGGCGGCGACGAGTGGAGGAGAGAGAGGGGAGAGGGAGAGGGAGAGGAGAGAGATATTATGGGGGACGGACGTGTGGACCAGGAGGAGCAGAGGTAATGGGAGAGCGTGTGCGCGTGGGGGTCTGTATGTGGTGGGCCGGGCTGCCCACAGCCCATGCCCATCGGAGCACACAACCCGTCAGCCCACCACAGACACCCACGCACACGCAGAAGAAAATTGCAGATTTTGGCCATGCAACAAAATTCAACTATGAAACTAAGGGGTTATGCTGCGGAAAAGGACATATAAGACTAGACAATCCAGAAACACCACCTGAACTCATAAGACTTTGTACAAGCAACGACTCTGACACAAGACATTTTCGACAAAATATAAGATTTTTCAAAGGGCGCTTCTCATTTACTAATCTATTTTGCCACCTTGGCATAGACACAAGTGACATGCGAACAACTACTGATATTTACACCTTTTGAGGACATGGTCAGGTATATCAAAATATACACTCATTTGGTAATAGTCACTCATATCCAAAGGATCTGGAGCTATACTTCTACGACGATGATCCAAGCTTAGATCATCGATACCGCCATTGTAGTGAGGGAAATGTATGAGCAAGACAAGCATGTGATTGGAACAATAACAGACATCCTACACGGTAACCCGTACTCTCAACAGTTTAGGAGTTTGGGACAAGCCCAAAATCTTGAGGACTAGAGACTCATCTTGAACCCTTGACCAAAAATTAGACCAATATACAACGCGCTAATCAATTCAGAGGTAGCTGCAGTGTGGATTAAAGAAAATGAAAGAAGTGATACTTATGACAAGAATGTAATACTTCATGGAACAACAACGAAAAAGAGCATATTTGATCATACTACGGGTGCTATGATCTGTTGTTGTATCCTCTATTCTTGTCAAGAGCTGAACTGGGTTGGCATAGGAAAATTCCAAAGAGGGATACACGAGAGCAAGGGGTTGTCAGATTAACTGTATGTATGGACTTGTCCCATTACAACCAACATGTTGTGTTGCCTATCATTTATTTATTAGTCACCTAGATCTTCATAGTAGAGTAGTTCCTCTCAATATTGTAAAAGTTGTCAGCATATGTGTGAAACATGCTGCCCGCTCCCCTCATCATGTTCTTGTTGTTTCGATATTCAGAAACGGAATGTAGCATGTTAAACATTAAATAAAGGTCCCCATTATTGATGCATCATTCAAGACACTCGACGACACTTATGGAGTGCAATTCCAATGCTTGAATTTTCTATTCTCTTGCCTCTAGCAGTGAATCAAAATCAAACCAATCATACTTTTATTCCGTTTCTATCACTGATGTATGACCTTAATTTTTCACTTAACTTGAATTTTGAAATCATTCTGAATGACACTATAGCTTCATTTATCCACTCATTTTTGCCATGACCCCCTCCCAAAAACTACATGTGAACCACCGCACTTACCTTCTCCATGTTTAAGGCAGACCCATTTGTAGTCTGTAAAACATGGAAGGATTACATGTTTAGAGTTGAATACCACCTAAAACACACACCTTCTTATCATTTAGGCAATCTGGAAACATAGAACCACTTGGTAAGTATATTCACCTTGTCAACTTGTTACCTGTAGCTCTAGCCATAACTCATAAATTGTATGCCTTTTGTACACATTCCTCTTATCCCACTATCATAGGTATTGTCTCACACCATTTGCCATCCTATTCTCATCGTGCTAGGACTTGAACATTGTAGTAATCGTACATCTCTTCCAACCTCTTCTGCACATCCATTTACTTATGTACCATAAAAGAGAAAGTGTCAAATGTAAAGTTTTAAAGGTCAAGTAGAAACATAATTTGTTGCATATAATAGAAATGTGTCCACTTGTGCTACACCACTAGGAGTGGAACACGTGGAGGAACGAATATAAAGTGTCTCAATAGTTGGAAAGGGGTGCATTTTCCCTATGGAGGATGACATCTCCTTACCAGCACTGCTTTCTAATATGATTATTTACATGATGTATTATGTTGAAGTGTCAAAAATGGAGTTGAAAGTATTTCTGTGGTTGCTTCTTTATGATAGGCTTAATATGCTAAATATGCAAAAGCGGGGACAATTTAATGTCAGTAACAACTATGCTTACATCCTATGTAATGTTGTTGAAGAGACCGTTGAGAACCTCATTTTCCGTTGCCCCTTTAGCATTTCTTGTTGGACACACCTCTCCAGTGGTCTCCGAATGCCTTGCGGATTGCTTTGGTACTATGCTAAAATGGTGTTTGGTAAATCAGAATATTTGTTATAATAGCTTGGAACATTTAGAAGGAGCTCATTAATTTATTTTCAAAGGTATTAAGACTTCGAGATTGGCATGGAGTGAAATCACCAAATATGTATTATCAATACATAGTTATTCAAACTTCTTACCAAGGATGAGGTATGGCATGATATATTCGGTACTAAATATATGGGCGTTAAGGTTCTATCCTAGGTCTAGAGGAAACCTGAGAACTCCCACTTTTTTGTTGTTTTGGTGAAGCGAACACAACTCTTTCTGGTCTGAAACTATCCCTATCAAGGACGGCTCACATGTTAGAATTTGGGAGGACTTGTGGTTGGGAAATGTCCCCACTTAGCGTCAAGTACCCAGGTGTTTTTCTTACAGTTCCGCATAAGCATGTCACAATAGAAGAGGTGGTTTTTAAGGAGTTCTTTACCTGACATGGATGAAGGTGTAGCCGTCGGATTGATCTTCCATTTCTTGAATTTTTCTCTTATTTTTGTGTCAAACAATTTCATGTGTTGAGTGAACTTGTCATGGTTGTATCACTTGATGCAATGTTAAGAGTCAACAAGAACTATCATTAAAAAGGTATTCCTGACAAAACATGCATGTTTATACAAAGAGTAGGTGGAACATACAAGTTAGAACCAGCTAAATCACGAAGATCAAACAAATAGACCATTGAAGAGATCCATAATAACAATTCCAATGACTAAATGAAATATGCTTTCTCTCAAAGAGCACAACCAAGACTAACTTATTATTTTAGGAATTACATGTAGAGATCCTATCCTTGCTTACATTGGGGGGAAAAGACTTGAAGAAGACGCTTCATGATCAGCGCCACCGAACTGCCAACCAAACCCCACTTCGAACGACTTCTTCGAGTTAATATCACCGCTAGGCAAGCCAGTGCTCGTGCTGGTGTCAGTACGACCACTATTATTGTAGCCAATGTGGACTGAGGTGTTGAGGTCTCCTCCATACCTCATCATGTCAAGTGAATCCTCTTGTTGCTGCGGCGGGGCCTTAAACATTGTCGGAGGCCCCATGTCCATGCAACCAGTGACATAGGGAGCTGGCAATGGCGCCTGATACATCGTCGAAGACCCCATGTCCATGTTCTCAGTCGGTGGTGGTGCCTGAAAAGTAGATGGTGACTCTATGTCCATGTATGGAGCTGGTGGTGGTGCCTGATAAGTCGAGGGAGACTCCATGTGCATGTAGTCAGTGACGTATGGAGCTGGCGGTGGTGCGAAGGCTGGTGGTTGGCCACTAATTTCTTTGATGCTTTCCCCCATGCTCTAGAGGATCACCTCCAGCTTTCGACCAACTTTGATGAGATCCTCGATGTTGAGGCCATCGAGGCTCGAGAGGTTGCTTCCGAGCATGGCCTTGTGTAGGAGGATTCTGGTCTCATTGTCAATGCAGACTCCCTAAAACTTGTGGCCCTTGGCATGGAGCTTATCAAAATGTTGGCTCAGAAAGCCTTCATGACTCACTGACTTCTTGAACTTCCCCTCCGGCATATTCTTGTACCGAGTCAGGATAGCCACTGCCTCAGAGTGGGACGGGAACACCTCTGGTACCGGCTTGCCCTCGCCATACACTAGCACGCAGGCCTTGGCGTTGCACATGATGGCCAACTCGTCCGCCTTTTTCTGCAGGCCCTCACGACGCTTGATACGTCTCCAACGTATCTATAATTTTTGATTGCTCCATGCTATATTATCTACTGTTTTGGACTATATTGGGCTTTATTTTCCACTTCTATATTATTTTTAGGACTAACCTATTAACCAGAGGCCCAGCTCAGAATTGCTGTTTTTTTGCCTATTTCAGTGTTTCGAAGAAACAGAATATCAAACGGAGTCCAAACAGAAAAATCCTTTTTGGAATGTGATTTTCTTCTCGGATAAGACCCAGGAGACTTGGACCCTACTCCAAGAAGTACCAGAGGCGGTCACGAGGGTAGGGGGAGCCCCCCCTACAGGGCGCGCCCCCTGCCTCGTGGGCCCCTCGGTGCTCCACCGACGTACTCCTTCCTCCTATATATACCCACGTAACCCCAAATGATCAGAACAGGAGCCAAAAACCTAATTCCACCGCCGCAACTTTCTGTATCCATGAGATCCCATCTTGGGGCCTGTTCCAGAGCTCCGCCAGAGAGGGCCGTCATCACGGAGGGCTTCTACATCATCATAGCCCGTCCGATGAAGTGTGAGTAGTTTACCTCAGACCTTCGGGTCCATAGTTATTAGCTAGATGGCTTCTTCTCTCTTTTTGGATCTCAATACAATGTTCTCCCCCTCTCTTGTGGAGATCTATTCGATGTAATCTTCTTCTTTTGCGGTGTGTTTGTTGAGACCGATGAATTATGGGTTTATGATCAAGTCTATCTATGAACAATATTTGAATCTTCTCTGAATTCTTTTATGTATGATTGGTTATCTTTGCAAGTCTCTTCGAATTATCCGTTTGGTTTGGCCAACTAGATTGGTAGTTCTT